TGAGAAAACCTTTCTTAGAATGACTGCGGGCACTCAGTCATAGACACAGAAGTATGAAGTTTATTTTTTGTATCTGTGGTTCTGATTTATAAGATTTAAGACAGTGGGGTTTTTTTGTGAAATGAATGAGAAATATTTTAGATTTTAGATACCTTATTTTTTTCCAATATAAATTTAAACCTGCTCTAGGAATGTTAAACTTTCTGAAATGTTTAAAAATATTCTGAAAATAAATGGGCTCTATTAAAAATAAATTATTGTTTTCAGTTCTGGGATCCTTATGCACAGCTATGGGTTATCTGAATATGTATATATCCATGCATAAAGATCTGGTGGGCGGGTGGGGGGAGCCATCTCCTTTATTAATTATTACTTTGTTAACTTATTACTGTCAATCTTCATCTGTAAGTGTCCCATCAGGTGTAGGTTTAATGTAATTGATTCTAAATGTTTCACCTTCTCAAAATTAGATTATATGATTTATCACCTTTGACAGAGTTTATTAGGAATTTCCTGGTACACTGCTATTTTGACTTGTTAACATAACCCAGCAAAAGTGATTGAATGAAGTTCTTTCCAAAGGCAAAACGTCATTCCATAAGCATAAAGAAGTTTTGTGAAGTCACCGTTTCTCTCATGCTGCTGCAATATTATATACCTAATCTCATACAAAGCAGGCCTAAAATTTATGATCTCCCAGTTTCTATCCTGGAGTTGTAACCACTACACCAAACTGGCTCCTTAATACACGGCAACTTAGGGTAGCAATATATTTCATTTTAAAAAAGGTATTTTTAAGTAGGAAGAGCTATTCATTTTAAGACCAATTTAAAGATAACCAAGAGCAACAAAGGAACACTTACATTGTCCAGTAAATATCAGGATAGCAGACTATCCCAAGTGGGCACACAGCTCAATTAACCATCCTGCACAGATGGTGATATACATTTTTATTCATGTCATAGTAATTTATTTCAAATGTACAGACATGCATACAGGTTAATTTATAAACATTTTATGCAAAATTGCAATTTCCCCCCTCAAATTTATTTTTCATCTGTCGGAGAACTGCAGTTCTCTGAGAATATCAAAGTGACGCACTAACAGGCCATTAGAGTTACAATATGAAGTGGACTTTGAGTACACATAAGAATGGTTCTGTCACATTATCACAGTCTATTTAATCTAGTAATTCAGATGCTAGCAGGAATCGAGATTATGGGAATCAGAGTCGCAAGTCTCTGCACACTGATTAAATACTGCCTTCTGGATTAAAGTCATACATGAAGTTTGGAGTATAAATTGAAAAATATTACCATGGTTAAAATAACTCAGAAAAGTAAGTTATATTATTAGAAGTATCAACCATCAATCTAAAAAGTCTTTGAGTTTCTATCACTATTCTAATCTAAAGTCTGAAGCTGGAATAATTTATCTTCATGCTATATAACAGTCCAATGAACAAAAATGTGAAATTACATGCACAGTTCTCTGCACAACTTATTTTAAGAAAACGATATTAAACCCGTCACTTTGATGGACAAGGAAAGCTAAGGCGAGGTCTTCATTCTATTCTGATGAAGAATAATTGTAGAATGTGGGAAAGTTTTATCTGAATATTATCATCCAACCTTACAAAAATGTTATAGTATACAATAAAAGGATCAGAATATTGTACCTTCAGAGAAACAATCACAGGTTGCAATCTTAAGGTGGTTTACCTAGATTTAAATCAAATGAATTCAAGGCGGCTTAATGAGTAAAATCAAACAGCTAGAAAATCAACCTTAGAAGGCAATTTCCAAGTTACATAAAATACTGAAAAGACAAATCACATAATCAAACTGTATCTGGTAGCACCTTCAGCACTGTCTTATTACAATAAAAGTTTTACTGAGCTAGATAGCCTACAACAGAATTTCTACCATCGATGTAGATATCATATTGTAGAGATCAAGCAAAGTACAACCTTTCAAAATATAATCTTTTATGTATAATCAATTTTCATGTGTAACATAGCCCAGCTATTGTTCATTTATTCCTGCTTGCTTTCTGTATGTGCTCCCTTGTATTCTAAATTGTGCTGACCAAGGAAAATGTTTCTGTTACTTTAACTGTGTTGTTCCAAGAGATAGAGAAAGCCTAGCTAAGAATCAACTTACAGCAGCGCATTTCCACTCCCTTTTGTCTTGGATTGTAAAAGTATCTTTTGCCTTTCGCTCTTCTGCTGAAGCTCAGCTCAAAGAAGTAACAAGTTTCTGGGCTAATTGACAGCTATTGAACTATTGTGTATTCAGGCTTAGAGATGTAGAAATGTAACTGAGCTAGAATAGATAAGAAAATTCAAAGGAACTTTTTAGATGTGCAGGAACTTTGTAATGTGTATTAGTTATAAAAAGCAGAACTTTTCTGATTAGGTTGTTCTCTCAATCTCCTCTGTCTCAGAGCAGTGCGTGCGTGTGACAAGAGATTGAGACACCCAGCTTATTCCTTTGATCAAAAGAATAAACCTGTGTTCATATCAGCTGCCTCGTGCCTCATTGGGATTTATTAGGATTCTGAGCTGAAAAACCTTACAATATTATTTAATGTAATGTAATGTAATTTCAATTTATAATTTAATATAATTTACAATGGAATATGTATCTTTCACCATTTTTCCTTGCCCTCAGTGTATAGATATATTTTCATAAGGAAATGTATTATAGATATCATAAATCTACATATAATTTTCCTGCTGATAGTATTCTTAAATAAATCTAAATCTAACACCATCTCTTTACAGCAAACTCATTACAGTAAAATTACCTAGATTGTAGCTTTAGATTCCTAAGTTGTTTTAATAAGATACTACAGAAACAAAATCTTTGGATCAGTTGATTATGCAAATATATTTTCCTATACTTTATGCAACCTCAAATTTTCCTGTGTACCATTTTTCCCTGAAAATAAGACTTGGTCTTTTTTTTTTTTGCCTCCAAAAGAGGCACCAGGACTTATTTTCAGGGGGTGACTTTTCCACTCACCTCACAGCAGCGGCACCGACAGCTCCGCCCAGCCAGCCCACTTCTTCTGTGGCCAAAGGAGCAACTTCATTGTGCAACTGAGAATGGAGCTCCAGCCTGCATTTTGCGGTCAGAGGCCTTTCCAGAAGCCTCTGCAGCCGAGAACTGAGCCACAGATTTAATCCATAACTCTGTTCTCGTCTGCAGAGGTCTTCTGGAAAGGTCTCTGACGCAAAATGCAGGCTGGAGCTCCATTCTCAGCTGCAAAATGAAGCTGCTCCTTCAGCCGCAGAAGAAGTGGGCCGGCAAGGCAAGTGTCGATCCATGGGAGGCCTGGCTACAATAGTAAGCTCCACCACCCCACCCCTGCCCTAGCTTGATTTTTAGGTGTGGGCCTTGCCCCAAAACTAGGGCTTATTTTTGGGGTAGGGCTTATATTAGGCCCACCCCCAAAATCAAGCTAGGGCTTATTTTCAGGGTAGGTTTTATTTTTGAGGAAACGTGGTATATTCCAAGATACTCAGGAAAGAAAATGTATATACCATTTGTATGACATCAGAAACACATTTTTAGACTTGATAGACAACTAATAATGCAACTTTATTTCTTTAGCAAGAAAATTTTCATTTCAGAAATGTAGTCTTGCTTAGGTGGTGGGGTAGGAATAAATATCCCTATCTCCTCATTTTTTTCTCCAGATTTGCTATAAGCATACTAGAAAACTATTAGTCCCAAACTTGAGCATTAAAAACATTTGATATAAAATGTCAATTCAGAATTTAGATAATATCCAAATTTGATGTAATAATTATTTTTCTAACTTTATATTGATTTAAAAGACTATATACATAATAAATCAAACACATTAGTCCTAAACATTTTTCCAGATGTCTCATGTTATAATATTTCTTTAGCAAATGCTAGAAATGGGTCCCAATTTATGGATCAAGCAAAGTTCTCCTTCCCTTCACAACATAATGTTGTCAGAATTCTGAACTGAGCTGGCTGCTTGTAGAGGAATGGTCCAATTGGCAACTAGATCACTTATCTACCCCAATCACTCCAGTGTGTTATGAATTATTTTCCACAGGATAGGAAATCTCTAAATGCAATAACATTTCATGGTGGTAGAACCTGGCTGGAGCTATCAAGATACTTTATAAATATATTATATCTAATCCCAGAAAATAAACAATAATAAATAATTTAACTGCACATGGATGGAATTAATACGCATTGTCATAATTGCACTTAGATTAAATCAAGGTAAACTGTATGAACAATTAAGACAAAGGTTAATACAAATTATGGGAGCTATTACATATCCTGTTAAAGAAAAAAATCTCAGAAACATACAACAAAGAGAAGAATTTATTTCATTCAAACTATACTGACTAGCTTATTGGAACAGATTTTAGCCAGAATAAATGTAATCAAATCATAAAGGCATCCAACTTTATTTAATGATTAAAAGTAGATTGTCTAACAAAGGAAAAGATTATGTGATGGAATTTTAAAAGTGTCTTTAAAGATAATCAAGAAATGTTCGAAATAATGTAATTTTACATGAATTTTTCTGTAATTATTATTTACACGGATGCTAAATAGCAATATCTAACAAAACAATTCTTCATGTTATCATTACATTATTTACTGCATACTAGAGTGCATATAATAATATTGCAGTAAGTGAAGAGTTAATAAGTAAAAAGAACCCCTAATAGTCCCCTATTAGGACAATCAATTGAAGTTACATTCTCTAGCTTTTGCTTATTTTAACACTTAACATTTATGCAGAACTAACTTTGTTTTAATATATATAACAGAAGTTTTGTTTCTTAGTAGAAAGCAAAATTGTTTTCGACTCTATTATACTGCACTATTTGGTTGTAGGAGACAGCCTTATTGCTATTACTACTATTATTGTCAGCTATCCAAAATCATTCTGGTCTTGGGCCACACAAAATCAAATCAATTAAAGGTAACTGCATGTACCTGATCTTGAGATTTCTTTTTCTTCTTTTTCTTGCCCCAGCATCCAGAACTTTCAGCATCTTTCCCATTGGCATCACCACAAAGTAAACCATCAAGTTCATCAGTCCCCATTTGCTGTCCCTGAGATGTTTCTGCAGCAAGTCTATATGAGAGGTTCCTTAAAATGCACACACAGTTTTCAACGGTCTAAAAGAACAAGAAAAAATAAATTATAATACATTTAGAATGCTTATATTCATCAGAAAAGTTATCAGTTTTCTTTATATCCTTGTGCTGGCTGAAATACCCAATCATGGCACAGGATAGTTTTCCTATCAAAGAAAGATGACACTTTTATTCCATCAAAGCTTTCTTCTTTCTATGTATATGCATACTTTCAAATATGCAGCTTGCTGTATGAAAATTATACTCACCTCAATGAAGAATTTAAATAAAGCAAGTTATATTTCTCTGAGAGAATAAAGTCTTTGTCTAGATGTAACAGGAATGTGAATGTTGAAAGAGAACAAAACCAAAGGTAAAATGTGTTAAATAGGTTTCACATATGGAGTTCAAAAAAAATGGGAAAAAAGGAATACCCCCATGTGTATTGTAACGGATTATCCATCATGAATGCTGATTATTATCCCTCTGGTGAAAATAATAGATCTGGAATTTAAATTGTCTTCAGGATTGATGGAAATATCACATAGGAGTCTCAGGAAATCCATGCTGAAATGTAGTAAACTTGATAGCAAATCTAACAACTTAAAAACATTTTACTTTTCATTTAAAACAATTTGTGATTTAACGTAAAATGATTAGGTGTTAGAACAATCTTATGAAGGATTATAGGTCATTTATTCCTTTGCTTGCAATTCTACTCCCCTTTGAGTTTTAAGAATTGGAAAAAAACACACAAATAAACTACAAGTCTTATCTTGTGTAAGATAGAATACCATAGAAGCATTTGATTCTCTCCTTTGCAACTCATTAAAACTGTCTTTAGGAAACCACAGATGATTTCCTGAGGTCTATTAGGATTTCCTCAAATAATCCACATCTACAATTAAATTTGGCAGAATTAGCACTGCAGGGTCTGATTTCTACCTCCTATAATCTCCTCATGGTGCTGCTTGCAGGTTTCTATTTTTTAATACTCTTACTATCCTTGAAGTAAGGATCAGCTAATCAGGTAAGAACCTATGACTCCTATATAGGAAATTCTGCAGAAATAATAATAAATAAATCTCACCTCCCTAGTTGTAAGAATAGACAGGAAGTTTAGAGCATAACATCTGTGAAGATTCTCAGTTATCCAGGTAAAGTTGTCTGAAGTCATGACAACTGGACTTATTTTTCTTATTAGTTTGAGATGTTTTACTGTTCATCCAAGAGCTCCATCAGTTAGAGCAAGATAAGCAGAAAGTTGTTGGAATGTACCAGTTCCTCTTGTACCAACTTCAAGGGTTTCCTTCCCAAAGTGTTTGCGCAATATGTCAATGAAGACTGTCACTCAGCCAGGTAAAATTGTCTGAAGATTGAGTTATGGCAACTGGACTTATTTTTCTTCTTAGTTTGAGATGTTTTGCTGTTCATCCAAGAAGCTTCATTAGTCAGTTCATGTTAGTTAGGCAGAAAGTCATTGGAATGTACCAACTTCTCATGCACCAACCTCAGGCTTCCCTTCCCAAGTGCATTGTAGTATGTCAATGAACCTGCGCTTGCACTTGGGGAAGAAACCCCTAAGGTTGGTGTGGGAGGAGTTGGTACATTCCAACGGCTTTCTGCCTAACTAACTTGCTTTGATTGGTGAAGCTGTCAAATATTTAAATAAATGGTGATAAAATTTTCTCTTTGCCCTAACATTACATCAGACAGAATATTTCAAACTGAAATCAGTCTTCAATCAAATGTCATGGTTCCGACAGACAGAGACGAAATGAGCATGGCTGCAGCCATTTTCCTTCTCATTCTAGGTTGCTATCAAGACTGAAAAGTTATCCCTACCCAGTCATATTTGCTATATTGACTCACAGTTTTAGTATGTATATATTATTTCTTCTTTTAATTCACACATAACGGCTACATGCTTGCACATGTATCATTTGGAATCCTTTTCAAATGATACAATTATTTGATGGGAGAAAGGCTGTGCACAAATAGGCACAATTTCCATCAAATCCCTTCAGTTCCTGATATCACAGAGCAGATGTTAAAAAGAATACTGAGGTCACATAGTACCAAGTATGAATAGTAAGGGGGAATTGTGTGATCATCCAAGGAACTTCAGTTAAACAATTTCTTTGATGTGGTATCTGGAAGAGTGTTTAGAGCTGGGTATTGGTATTGGAAGCCAACAAGTCTCATCAGATGCTCTGTATAATTCTGGTAGGGAGGTTCTATGTAGATCCATAGAGGACACAGTTACTTTTTAACCAAGTTTGATAACTATGGTTATTTTCTAAGAAAAAGCTTATAAGACAAACAGATACTGGCTCCTTTATACAGTAAGTTGAAATGTAGTTAGTAGTGTCAAGTAGAAAGTAAGTATTCCTTTGAACCCAGAAGAACTTGAGTGACCTCTTGATTGATTGATAATTGTTGCATCACTAGAGGCCCCATCCTTGTTTTGCCTCAATTGAAACCAAGTGTTTTAGCAGATTTTAGCTGATGTCAAGAAATTGCATAGTTCTGGGAATTGCTATAAATAAGAGAACATCTCAAATGTGTTCAAGAAGGGGTGACAGAAGCCAGTGGCCAATGATAGGAACTCTGGTTGAAGATGAAGAAAACGTTTATAGCCTCAAAGTTTGTTGTTCTAAGAACTTGTTTATAAAGTCTGGTTTGCAGATGAGAGGAGCAATTTCAAATTTATTTTGTAAACAACCAGCACTACTTACAACAATCTACTGCATGAATTCCCCTAAGGCACAAGGAGTGGAATTTGCTTCTGCAATTCTGGTTGGTACATACAGAAAAGAGAAATTGAGGTCATTTGGCCATCTATTCAATGATAGTTCCACAACCATTCATGTGTACAATAAAAATAAATAAGTGGAATTATAATTTAGCTCTGCCAATTAAGAATGAAAGTAATGGAAATACCAGTTTTGTCTAGCGTTACTTTGCATTATATACAAATGCTGAGAAGCAGCTACTCGGCACCTGTTGAGCTTTTCAGATGTTGGAAAAAAGCAGAGTTGTTTTGTGTATCTTTGATGGAGAAGAGTAGCAGACACTAAGATGATTATTGATTGCATGAAATTTTATTTGCCAGGATAATTGATGTGCTTGAAAATTACATTATGTCATATAATCCTCCACCAGTTAGTAAGCAGTAAAAAAATCATCTGCCAGGTTATCATGCTTTAGATAGATGCTTCTAATTTTATTAGCTATAAAAAATTAAATCACTAGCTGTGGATCAAAGCTTCTTGAATTACTTTGCCAAATAGAAAAAAAACATCAACATGCTTTAAAATAGTACTGTCTGGAGTTGTTTTATTCAACAAAATCAATTTCTTTTCTTTCTGTGGCACTAAGAATGGAAATTTTTAGGAGTTCCTCAATTTCCGCAGAGGTATAATAGTTGCACCATGAGATGTGCTCTTATTGGAATGCAAAGTGTACATTTATTGCACTTTTTAATCACTTAATAATAATATCTGCAGTAAAGAAAAATGCTTTGCTTTTCAGCTCATTAAATCTAGAGTAAGGATGCTTAACAATGTGTTCTCAAATCTTACCAGAATATACTGTATTTGTAGAGTATTCAAAGAGAGAGGTATGTTTGTTCACTGTGATCTCCTTGATTTGCATTCATACATTCAATAATGTGCAAACCTGTTCCTCAAGCCCCTTAAGTACGGAAATCAAATCAAGGGCAAAGATTATTGGAATATAGTAAACTAAAGAAAGTCTAAACTGATTAGTCTTAAGAATAGACTACGCTATGCTTCCACTTATTGCTCAACAAATTATAGAATGATGATCTGTTTCAATCTATCTTCTAGATGCACTGAATACAACTGCTATAATTTCCACCTACTTATTTATAAAATCAATTTGAGAAAATGGTTTATTTATTTAATTAATTAATTAATTAATATGCTGCCAATCTCACTGTTGAAGTGACTCTGACAGATGAATTAATGAATACATATGAAGCAGTACAAGGCTTTTTTAAGTATCTCAAAATCTAGCTGTTACAACAACACAGGAAAATCCATTTTGCATGCCTTACAATTCTATATATATAAAGTATGGAGAAACAAGCCTTGAGTAGTTGGGAATCAATTTCTTTTGTACAATTTCTGCAATAGTTGGAGCTATGAAGCAAAGAGGGTAGGAGCCAGGATTTGTTTCATCTTGGGAAGAGTTTGGGAGTTATTATTTGGTTGCTCATGTTTTTCCTATTTCAAAATGGTGGTAGTAATTGTGAGATTGAGAGTGCAAAAATAAGTAAATAAATCTAGAGTAGAGTAACTGAACAAACCTTGCTATCAATTTCACTGCTTCCTAGAGCAGACTGAATCACATAAAGCAATGCATCAGTAAGTCCGTCACATTCTCTCATTCTTCTCCGAGCTTCTTCTCCAGCAGAGCTGACATTCCTGGAAGCAAATAACAATGATGATTCTTTGCTCAATTTTATTTTTATTTTGTATAAATCTATTTTATAGCATGGGTCCCTTTTGAAGCAACCTCATTCACCATACAGATAGCTTGAGAGTGTAACTTTCAGACTTCTAGATACTGCAGTCCCAAAACATTTGTGGTCTAATTTCTGAAATAGTTCAACATGATCTTTTCCAAAACTCTTTGAAATTCTAATAGTATTAGAACATTGTGAATCTGAGAAAACTTTAAAATTCACAAAGTAGCTTTAGGGAGGCAAGATGTCATTTCTGATTAAAAATCTTTATAATTCTTACATCTAAATTAATTATTTTCTATAAAAATAAAGTAATAAAAATACATAAACATTATAGAAGCTATTATATATTTTTGCATTTTACAATAAAACAACTGCACCTTGGTAGAAGTAATGAGAAAAATATTGAGATAAAAATGGTTTTGCATTAAGAATTTCAAAACCCTTCAATTTGGTGTTATTTTCAGTTACTAAAATGTATTGTTGTATATCAAAACATTATGAATAAAATTTAATCTGCAAGAAATTTTGGTTTCTTCATAATAGTGCTATTGTCATCCTACAATTTTCATCCTGGTAACCATCTATTTACTATGCCAATTGTATACTGGAACCAGGAGCAAATGATTGCATTCTATTCTCATTGTTGGAGAGGGTTTGTATTTATCTGCCTGGATGGCAGCATGGAAGATCTGCCACATCTTTCCTTCTTAAGCCATGTCAATCGCCATAGAGAAAGTCGTAATGCAGTACTGGATGGTAAATCCAGTTCAATTGGTTGAAAGACTTTGTCTCTGTGATTCCAGAGAGGCAGAAACTACAGAATAGCTCCCTTTATGGAGATATCCAAACCAGATTTATACTTTCTCTGATTAGTAGATATCCTAATTGCCTAGATTCGGCTTATGCCCAGATGGCTACTTATAAATGAAATACCCTTTATTATAGTGCATGTGACTAGGTTTTGTACAATAACACATAATATTGATGGATCAATATCCTGTAATATATTCCTGTAAATGTAATTCATTTAAATTTTAGATATTACTACTTCACTGATATTAATAATTTTATTTTGTTGTAATTTTAGGTATTTAGTGTTTACATTATAATTTAATATAGATTTATTTATTATAATTTAATATGGATTTTACATATTAGATGCTACTTAGGTTATTTTACAAATGTATTTTAATTGTCTTATTTTTTATTCATTTATTATCTATACTGGCCTTTGACCACAATAAATTGAATAAAATTGAACTGAAGTGAGATACCTTCCCATATTTATTCCAACGCATTATTTTAAATGACTTTATAGTCATTTGTTTTGGGTTAAGGGCATTCTGTGGGACTTTCAATGAACAAGTTACAATTATTCAGAAAAATGGATTTAGCTATCCTAGAAGACTTATTATTGGACATACATTTTAGCTTCACCACTTCAGAATTCAACTGCACTGTAGTAACTCAAGAGTTGTTATCTGATCTCACTGAAGTCATAGCAGGCATTAGGATGTCAGTTGGTATAGGGATCCATTTTTATTAATGCTGCAATATCTACACAGAAAATACTATCATATATATTATTTGGACAAATTTACCCATGAAAAGCTTAAAGCCATTTTAAAAATAGCATCCAAACCTGGGTTGTTGGGGTTTCTTGGGTAAACTGGGTTTATTGTTATAGATGGCTCTATAATTCTTGGTTTCAAGTTGCCCAATCAACAGTATTGTGCTTTGCCTATCGTTATGGGAACCCCTCCATTTTTCAAGACTCCAATCCTTAACAGCTCTTGATCTATGTCACAGTGACCATGTTGTGAACAGGAAACAGGACTGGCTAATACATTCCCAAACCTACATGTGTGTCTTCAAATAATATGAACAAATGGTGAAATAGATTCAGTTCTCAAGTCTGAGTTTATTTGTAGCTTCCTGAGCAAGGACAAATGAACTTTACTTCCAGAGCAGATTTATTTTTCAGCAGTTCTCAGATGGTCACAAGCAAATAGCCTGATACCAGATCAGTCTACTATCAAAACAAGAAACAGGTGGAAACTATTGTTTCTTCCCCCTTGAGTCTTACTATATTTTCCAACATAAATGTAATCATATAACCCATATTCTAAGTTCTATTGTTTTATTTTGCAAACAAAAAGAAATAGATTTTCCCCTCATTCATAAGACCTATTACTAAATATGGAATCAATTCTCAGTAAGAATCCATCCCTTTAACAAAAATAAAACTACAACATTATGTGATTGATACACAGTGATATATTAGATTTCATTCAAAATCAAAGTCTAGTAATTGAAGTATCATATATGAATATGCTATATATCTGTGATATTATAAAATGGTGAATATTAGTAATTTCCTCCAAGATAATGTCTATCTTATCTTTATGGAGTCAGAAGTCATCAGAAAACTAATTCACTAAAATAGACTGATAAGTCATATTTCCTGGTATATGCTTCTAAATATATTTCCAACATTCCTTTTTTAAACAAATCTGCTTTCCATTTTTCTGATACTGGTTAATGAATAATTCAAATTTTAAAATAATTATGTATATAGTATTGGATAACCCTTTTTTAAAAAGAACATATTAATAATTTAAAGTTTGCATTTCTTAAAAGAGCAGTCTAAAACATTGTTTAATAATATTCTTCACCCATAGTATGAAAAAGTAACCTTTCTTGCTTTATGTAAGATGTTTTATCATCCATTATTCTATATTTTTCTTCACTTTAAACTATTGTTAATATAATTATTTCTCTATTTTTAATTGTTACACTTTAAATATTCCAAAAATGAACAGAAATTAAATAGTTAACACTTATTTTTATAATATGTATTTAAACAAAATCCACAGATTACATCTAACAAAACATTTTAGCAATATGAAATTATCCATCGTTTGTATGCTTTCTGATTCTATGTATCTTATTTAAAAAGTTTACTTAAATTTCTTGATAAATTTAATCCTTACTTAATCCGGATTGCCATCTATGATATCATTGCTATTTATTGAATCTTTGGAAGAGTCTTTAACCAGTTTGGGTATACCTAATATATTAATGTTGCTATTTTTAAAAAAAATTGTTTACAATGGAAGCATATTTCAGTGTTACTTCCATCTTAAAACTGGTTTAATGTTTTATATCCACAGGTAATTCCCCAGGTACAAGTGTTTATTTAGAAATTTAAAACTGTGACCAAAAAGAGGCCTCTGTAGCGATGTGACTTGATTTCAGTCTCTGCTGCAGTGATGGCCATTTTTATCTCTGTGACTTGTCTGGGCCAATCAGAAGGGTTCCCTCCCCCCCCCCCCCCGGTCATATGGCCAAACAAGAGCCGAGCCGGCATCAGTTTTTGCTTTTGCTGCAATCTGCTACTGCTCTGCTACTGCCTGCTACAATTACTTCTGTAAGTATTTTAAAATATTTTTTTTTGTTACTCTACAGTTGCAAACACAATAGTTTGCAAAGTGCAGTACTTAAAAAGTACTGTTTGTTTGCAAGCAGTTTGGAAACTGCTCTGCTTTTTAAGTACTGCACTTTGCCAACTATTGTATTTGCAAACTATTGAGCTTTTATTTTGGAAATTAACATATATTACTGTACTTTGTAGGTTTTAAATTTAAATTGCCTCCAGAAGTTGTGGGTGCCCCATCACTGGAAGCTTTTAAGAAGAGACCGGATAGGCATTTATCAGAAATACTCTCTTTTGAGAGCAGTGGGTTAAACTAGCTGACCTCCAGGTCCCTTCCATCTCTGTTACTATTGCAAGCTGAGAGCTCTGCAAATCCCTCCCCCATCTCCCTCTGGGTGTTTGGCTGGCTCTTAAGCTAGTGGTTTTTATTAAAGCAACGGTCCCACCCTCCCTCTGGGCAGCTGAAAATGCTTGAGCTGGCTAGCAGGAGTTGTTTTTTTAAAAAAAATAATAACTGTGATGGCTTGCAAGCCCTGCTTGGAGGCAATTTAGTTCCTGAGCCAGCTCACCGGAAACAGCTGATTGGCAGCTGGCGGGAAGCCCTCCCAGTTCAGTTTACATGGTAACTGTCGGAGGAAATAGTAAATCAGATCTTCGTTCATTTAACAACCCATTTGATTTAATTAATGAATTTCATTTTAAAAATTTGTAAAATTAAGTCTGATTCATTTGATGAATTTTTTGACTTATGAGCCCAAGAGCCAGGCTCCATTAGGTTCGTACCTCGGGGACTACCTGTATTTTGTGGATTCTTGCAATGACAGTACTGGAATAGATGAGTTAAAAGATATATTTTCTGTCAGTCATACATTTTCTGATATGTATACTGTAGGTAAGACTGCTAATGACTCAACTACTTGATTGCCCTCTTTGAACTAATATTGGATAATATAATGTTTCAAAATGTTAATACCTATGTCTACCATTTGCATGAGACAAAATTGCTCAAATGAATAATTTCTCTTCTATTCAAATAGCAGCTGTTCATTAATGCGGATCAGGATTGAAGTGGGAGCAAAAGAGCAACCAACTCTTGTAGCTATACAGTATACTTGTTCCAAGTCATGCAAATCCTAAAGTATATAATTAAAAGAGTTAAATGTATACTAAAGCAAAATTGTTCAGTTATGGCCCTTAGGCAGATTTCCAACACAGATCATGGAAGTTTTGTAGAAAAGGCTGATGTCATCTCTTCATTGGTAGGAATATTCAGCATGCCATATTTGATTAAGTAAAAGCATGTCATTGAAATTTAAAATTTTAAAAATATCATTTACATTTTAAGCTCAGGTTTTATAGTAACGGCCTATAATTCTTACAGACATGCCCTAATTTATATAAAATCACATTTGTCTATAGACTACTGCAAAAGAACCAAAGTAATCATCTAAAATGACAACTAAGCTAAAAATAAGCTAAAATGACAACTAAGCACCTGTGCAGTTCTACCTGCGGAAGAACCATCCCCTCTCCACTCTCACTGCTGCCACCGGAAAGGTTGGGGACCACAAAGCCGAAAAGGTTGGGGACTACTGACATAGAGGGAATGTTGTTGTGATTAGTGTTCTTCTCCTCTTTATTATACAACTATTAACCAAAAGCCAGATAAGCAAAATAAGGATAATATCTGTATAACAGAAGCCAAGTAACAACATCTTAATGTGCAGAAAATATTAACATCTAATAGCATAGGCCACCTAACCACATACTGGGCAGGCGGTATTCCAGAACTTACAACAGACCTTACTTTTCCATGAACAACCCAAAACTCCAATCCTGAATGACATATATTCTCCATCATAGCAGCACTTATATATTGCAGCAAACTTTATATTTATAGAGAAAAACTCCTTGTAGTCTTTTAGAGTGGATGCCTATATTAATATCTAGTATATATATTTTACAGTATATACAGTGGTGGGATTCAGCTGGTTCGCACCACTTTGGCAGAACCGGTAGCTAATTTTTTGTTGCCCAGGCCCAGAATGGACTTCCAGAAGCAGCATCCACACAGAGAACCGGTTGTTCACATAGTTGAATCCCACCACTGAGTATATACAGTATATATATTTAAATTTGGTTCTCCAATCAAATAATATTCTTTTCAGTCAAGGCTAATCTGTTTTATTTTTACTCCTACTCATTTTTATATCTAGGCCAGTCTGTTTCCAACACCAGTGTTCTTTCATCAAAACATAATGTCGGCTTGCAGTTTGCAACTTGCTTGTCCTCGGCTGCCATAGGACACTGGGGGGGGGGGAGGATTTTGACATTTGGGGTGGGGACGTGAGCTGGTGTGAAGTGTTCCTGTGAGAAATGGAAGGGAGGATCGCTACCCATCAATGGAGTGGAGTTGTTTAGACTTTACCAAGGCCCGTCCTGGGCCTCTGGAGGAATACACTATCTGTGAAGAGGGTTTCTCATAACATCACATTGGATATTGATTGGTCTGCCAGGGCTGAACCCTGGGGGAGGGATTTGGGAAGACTTTCAATGTGTAACTTTTGCACAGATTTTACTCAGATCTTGCCTTGCTTTTGCTATCAGTTCATTCTTAGTAAATGTACCTCTTCTCTAAAACCATGGAGTTGGTGGTTTTCTTTCTTAGAACTTGAACGGAGGCAGACCATTCAAACATATATTAAGTCAATTCAATCATAATTATAACAGTGCTATGGGGTTGAATTAGCTCACACAAACCACTGATATATCTTTAAAAGAAAGGAAGACAGAGATAATAGCACATTTTTCAACAATTACCTTTATTTTATAATTATTCTACAGTTCATATTTCATTATAACTTGATATATTCTAATTAAATTACTTCTAGATATTAATTAATTAATCTATCTATCATTGAAGCAATTATTGGTATAGACCTGCTACTATTTTAACTAGGAGATGGGAATCATGCTATAATCACTGCTTTAAAATACGATAGCTTTAAAGGAAAAAAGTTCTCAAATGGAAAAGTAGGTAAAGAGTCTTGAGTTCTGAAAACATACAGGAAAACCTTTAAAATACTGATAAGGGACTTTGAAGAGAATCTGTTTCCTTTTTATTTTTTCCAACCCAATCAAAAGAAAAAATATAAGACGGTTCAAGACTTTGCCTTTCTGTCTGTCACTAGGATAAGTCTCCAAAACCTGAACCAGAATGAGACCAAGTTTGGTATGGTGGAAAAAAATGAAAAACAGGATTGGGTCTAAAAATGAGGTGGATCCAACTTGGGTCTTCAGAGTTTAATTTTCCCACTGCATCCTTATGAAAAGGCAGAGTGTCCCCTAATCTAAGTCCACCCCAGTCATCACAGCTTAAGCAGAGCTATTTTGAAGGGGTTACAAAGAGTTCTAGAAATCTTGCTGAGCATGCTTTCCCCTTCTTTTTGTTTTAGGTATTCTAGAAAGCTTCTGCGTCAGGTGCTCCAGTTGTCAGAAACTGCACATCATTATGACCATTTTCTCCAGAAATAGAGCAAAACAAAAAAAAATATGCTAATGGAGATTTCAGTGAGTTGCTCAAACTCAAAGATAAATGGTTCATTATGGATCTCCAGGCTTTTTGAAGATCATTTTAAAGAAGGCACCATATAACTCTCACCTCCCTCACAATTTCACTTCTACAAAGCAAAATAGGAAAGGTTCTAGATGATTTATCATTGCTACATACATTTGCATTATTTCCAGTAACAATTCCTGAATTGCAGTGTAAACCTTAAGAACCAAAATCACACAATGAGCATAAATACATATTCAGAGAGTGGAAATATGGTGTAATTTAGCAAAAGGTTTGCCTGTCAAAAGCCACTGTTAGTCAAACTAAAGGCAGTGGGCTTTTGATAAACTATATAGAAGCTACAACTCAAATCAGTTTAAATTTTATCCCACCAAGTCTTACTGAGCAACTTCTGTGGAATATCTATAAGAATATTACAGCTACAGTCTTTTAAAGACAACAGCCTAAAGCCATAATTTCAAGTGCTGCATTAAATGGTTCAGTGGTGTTTTTTCTAGCAAGTTTTTTTTTTTTTGAAAAATGGTATCCTTGCACATCACAAATTGCTAACCAATTCTCTACGGGCACTACACAAATATTTCAGAATTTCAGAAATTGTTTGTCATGCAGAGTAAGAGATTGCTATTCTGTGAACAATAAATAAACAAACCAAATTGTACATTGCTATTCCATAGGCCTTTTGGATTGCACCCTAAATCTTCAAAGCCATATATTTTGTTTTTCACTTTGTTGTATGCCACCCAGGGTCACCTGATTGTAAGATGGGCAGCTGTATAAATGTGACAAATAAATAAATATGTTTACAAAGTACATGCTTCTAAGCTTATAAAATTTATTACCGTGTTAATATTTTTATAGCAGTAACCCAAAACGTGATCCTACATTCACTGCTTTGCTACAGTTAAATGGTAAAAGACAAATATGACCACAGATTTATCTCATCACCTTAGTTTAATATTTCTCCTCTAATCTTTTAACCAAGAAAATATACTGAAATTCTGAATAATATACATACATAACACATTACCTTTCAGTGTAAGCAATGTTATGCAGAGTGCAGAAAGGAAGGAAAGCATGAGATAGGAAAGGAAAAGGAAAAATAATCTAAACCCAGTTTACAGCAACACCAATTACCAGACCTCTTGATACCTCACAGGATTAATACTGTGATGGAGAGAATACGATATAGTGTATGTTCATTTGATCTTTTGTAGGGGATGGTGGGATACAGATAACAAGTAAATGTTTTAGAGAGCTATAAGCTATTCTGAAAAAAAACTTTGAAGGCCATTTCACTGTTTATGAAACATACAAAGAAATAAATAGTAATTTGACCAACGTGATATAGATAACTTTGCAGTTTAGATCAGTAAGGGCTTCTGAACAATTTGATACTTCATATATCTTTAGGCAGAGAGCAAAAAATAAAGATTATGAAATCCCCGATAGCTGATCGGAAGCATTTTGTATCTTACAAGTTATATATGTCCAATGCAGAAGAATATTGATAATACAAGTGGTCCTTGCTTAAGAACACCGATTCAATAACTGTTCGAACTTACAGTGGTACTGAACATCTTGTACTTATGGCTAATTCTTGTACTTACAACAGTGTCCCCCTGGTCATATGATTATGATCCAAGCCCACCCGGCTTCCTTCTTTGCTCGCTTCCTACAAGCAAAGTCAATGGGGAAGCCAGAAAGAAGTTGCATATGGCAATCAGAAGTGCCGGAATTTCCATCACTAAGCAGTGTGGTCATATGATATTGCACTTTACAATTGTGTTGCTTAGCAATGGCAATTCCAGTCCCAATTACCATCAATAATTGACGACTACCTGTTATCTATTAACTGTCACCATCTCTTTAAATAATGGAAGAATAGGAACAATTTGTTATTAAATATCACATTATAAAAACATATTATTGCTATTTCTTATAATGCCTAAAGAATGATTTTAAATTCTATGGGACCAAGAAAGTAGAAGGGAAGAAATTGTCAAGCAGTTTAGCTATCAGAGCTCACCTTAGGCACCCAGTGGCATTGCGCAGCACCTGTGATGAATGAAGTTGAATTTTGTGGTCATCCTGAAGGGGGGAATTTTCCCACCCAGAATGAGGAATGATCACTGCATTGGTCAACACTGCTAGAGCATCCTGGATAATTGGCATTTTCAGTGCATCACAAGAAGACAGATTCCAGAGAACTCCTAAAATGAAGGAAGCAAAGAATTGACATTTCTTCTAAAATCAGAATGAAGTGATACTGCACAAAAACAACACTACCTGAACATTCATATGTGAGTCTTCAAATGTTCACTGCTTTCTACAGCAACCAGGGCATCACATAAGGGCACATAAATATATACATATCATAGTCTTCATCAAGGTTCAGTTATTTAATTCATTCCATTATTTCACTTAATGTAGTCATATCCTGTATTCCCATTTGATCTCCTAACTATGCTGGACCAGACTGAGACTTTATAGGTCTTGTAGGTCTCCACAAGAATGTTACAACATGTCCTCAAACTTCATTCTGCAATCATTGCTCAATGCAAGTGTCACAACTGTCTGAGGTGGTATAGCTTTTTGGCTTCCCAATATCAGAGGAATAGTACTATCACAAATCTGAGGAAGTATGATGGCCCACAGTCTTCTTGAGTTTCTTGATCTTATCTTGTCCATAAGACTACACAAATGTATTTACAACAGTAGACTTAGAATAGTACCACTTGCCTACACTAAGATCAGGTTTGAAAAACCTGTTGACACTGTATTTGCCATCCGCATTTCTAGCAAAAGTTATGATTTTATTTTAATTTATTTGTTGTAGTCTTTAAGCTCAGTGACTATGTATTCTACACATGAATACATAAAACACAGGAAGGAATTTAATGTACATCCTTTAAATAAAACTATTTATCCTCTAATTTAAATAAAACAATTTAATTGTTACTGTGGGAAAATATTACAGATTCACTTTTCATTTAAATAAGAATATGCAGTACATTGATTGAGACTATTAGTGTATATAATTCAGCACTGTTGACAGGGACTAAAAATGACCACCCATTGTTTCAGTAGGAGAACTCTCCCAGTGAAATATAAAGATGGCAGAGATTGAATTTGAAACCTTGCCAAATAATTGCTTTTTTGTACCTTGTAACGATACATATAAAATATGTTATTTTGGGATCTACAGGGCATCTTCTATATTAGGAGTTTCATTTTAACACCATGTATACCAATAGGTAGATTTAGCCAATTCCATATGTTATTCTTGAATGCATCTCAATATTGTTCCTGAACTAGTTAAATGATTTCCATGTCCATAGTAAAAAGCAATTTTTCTACTGTTTTGATTGATTGGATAGGGTAAAAATCTCACCCATCACTTCTATTTTGTTGTGTTAGCTCCAAACAATGGGACTCATGGTAGAGTCTGAGACAAAATTACCTAATCACGTTGATGTTTATATGTAATATTATATGGATAATTAATATATTAAACACTCATATGAGCCCATTTGCTGGAGATACTGTTGAATACATCCCACAAAGATGAGATGGAACTTATGGTCTTCTGGATCTTGTTGGGGAAAAAAAGGTCCAGCACATTCGGACAGCATAATAGAGAGGAGTTTCCCACCCCATTCACACTTAAAAAAATATTTTTAGTCTGTGTCTAGGCACTTATGTTATGTGAATAACTTATATAAAATGTTACAATACATGTTGCAATAAAAAAATTACATATCCATGACTACACACTTCAATAACTGAAGCTAATGTCAAGAATACTTTTAAAGAAATTTAGTACATTGATTAAACATATACATGAGACATGTTCTACCCATTCACAATTTTTCAAGCAAGTCTGAATACTATCTTATTCTACATGTCAAAATACTTTGCACAAAACTACTTAGCAAAAGAAATTGATGAAAGTACTACATTATCTTTTTTAACTATACAAATTCCTCTGAAAATGTCATACTCTCTATATTTATTTTCTCTTGTGAACATTCTGGCATTCAGAAGTCTCAACTGTATAGTTTCACAAGAGAAGGCATACCTTTTCAAGCGTTTGTAACTAAAATGAGAGAAAAACCAGTAGGGAAGAACTAACTGCCTGGCTGGCGCTAGGATTTGTCTTCCAGCCAGCCCCTTCTGCCAATTTTTCCACACCTTCTGAACAAATTGCTTGGAAAAAATTGGCCAGGGGATTGGTTCAGTGATGGAACTGAGAGAAGCACTGCAGATCACTGGTTAAGTACAAATAATACTCTCATCAATTTTAATCAGTCAAGAGCCCACAACTCATTTTGCACTGTAATTCACATCACTGCCAGTCTGTATGAGACAGTGAAAGGGAAATATTCTTGAACGTATTCACAGATGCCTATTTACTAGCAGGTTGGGAATTAATCGGATTAAGAAGGTAATATTTGCTTGGGAATGGATAGGAAAATGGCCAAGATGAGGAAGTACTAGTTTCACATTTTTTCCCCAAGCTGTCTTTTATAGCCAAGAATGTTTCACTGAGAAAACACTGAAAAACAATGCTGTGCTTTTCACTGATATGTTTATAGTAAAGAGGCTCCTTCCTCATCTCTCTCTCACACATGCACACACACGTGCATTAATTGCCATGTTCACTCTTTAAGTCATCAATAAGTCATCGATAAAGGCATACTGAGAAGCAGAATTCCCCGTTGTTATGTTCCCTAGTGCCTACTTCTCCCTTGCAGCAAAGTGGTGTGACTGAATGTTTTCTATAACATTAACATTCCACGTGTATAGAATTGAGAGAGAATGTGAAAGTCTGCTTTGAATGTTAAAGAGAGTGGAGAATTCTCTTGTGTTGTTGCTTTCATTCTCTTCTGTTTGAAATTGTCCAAGACTATTTGCTCATTTGCTACTGCTGAGAGCTAGGTTCTACTTTTACAGGTTTCAAATATTAGAGGACAAGAGACAGAAAGAGAGTGCAAAGATTCAGCTGATTGAAAGCTGCCCCAGCATATTCATGGATTATCTACTAATCTGTACTCTTTTCACTTTCACAGGTGCCAGGATTCTCCTGTCTGAGAACTAAAAGTTGTGTAACTTTTCTGCAGAGGCTAAGATGAAGAGTCCAAAGCTAGTTCACTCTGTGCTCTGCATAGTTCCTTCCAGCCCCCAGACAAATCCACACATCTTCTTTGCCCTGACACGAGGCTTATCTACGGTTTCATAATAGCCCAAAGTACTGGAAGTGATGCTTCCCCTCTTATCCTGCCTGAAAGGACTGCATGAAGCCAATATATGGTACATTTATTTACACTGAAATGATTTATGCAGTCTGAAATGAAATGCTCCATGCTGATCATCTTGTAGCTCCAACTGGTCCTTTTTGTGGGACTTTCAGTTGGATTTTGAATCTCTTGGCCCATTGCTCGGCCCACTTGTGGCTGCAAGAAGATAGAAACTCCAGTTTCCGCAATCCCATTTTTTCTCTTTTTTAAATAAGCTGGTCAACTGTTACAAGCCTTGAAACTAACCAATCAATGGCTTTCTTAAAATAATTGCAAGTATTTGACTCTTGTAATTGGTGGCTTGTCAATCAGGGAATTCCCTTCCTAAATAGAAAGGGAAGAGGTAGACCCTCACATTCTGTCTTCATAGGATAGCTTATAGCCTCCTCCTCTCCTCCATTATCCATCAGAGTTGAACCTCTTTCTTAATCTCCAACACTTCCACCAAAGTTATTCAGTGGTCACATCTCAGCTACAGAAATTTTGACAACTACTAGATCAGTGGTGGCGAACCTATGGCACGGGTGCCAGAGGCGGCACTCAGAGCCCTCTCTGTGGGCACTCGTGCCGTCCCCCCAGTCCTAGGCCTTCAGCTGGGTTTTATAAAACCTTTTCACTTTAGGCCTCTGCCGCGTGTGCAAAAAAAAAAAAAAAAGTTCAATCAATCAGTCAATTTCAACTTCTCGTGGAAAAAAAAAAGATGTTGCAAAGTTGGAATTGGATTAAACTTTTTAATCCCAACCAGTCTGCCATTACCACCACAGTTATGTCCACCCAATGGGCCACACCCACCCAATGGGCCACACCCACCCAATGGGCCACACCCACCCGGCACCCGACGATGCATAAGTGGGTTTTGGGTTGCAGTTTGGGCACTCGGTCTCTAAAAGGTTTGCCATCACTGTACTAGATAATAGCCAAGAGATATAAATGCCATCTAGAGATTGATAGTTTCAACCCATAGTTTCAAGGAATAATTACTTGAATATCAAGTAATTATGGCAGAATGGGAAAGGAGAAAACAAAAAGAATCCTGGCAGTGCATGGAACATTGTGCATGCCAAGTGGGTGGAGATGCACAAACAATTTTGGCAAGGTGGAGTTTCCACTGAAGAAACCATCAATCATGGCCCTTAGAATGCTCTGTGTAGTGCAGTACAGCCATTTTTGGGTGTCTAAGGGCACACCCTGTGGGGTAGCAAGAATTAGGATGGCATGACTGACTACCAGCTCTGAGAGGGGAGATGGGCCCGACAAAGCAGCTGTGTGGATGCGACTTTTCTCTGAGCTTTTGGATAGGGAGATGTAATCTATTCTTCGGTATGAGGAAATAAAGACTTCAAGCAAACAAATGAGCTTAATTGATTCTCTAGCACTTACATACAATTTCCTAGTTGTACATATGGAGGAAAGTATGAAGAATTGGTTGATTAGTTTAATACTTAATATGTAAACATTTTAGTATTATATTCATAAAATAGATGTACAATTTCATTAATTAATTTTAAGTACTGTATATAGATCTTTAGTATTGTATTATTTGTTTTTATAATGTTTAGTAGTCCGAATCTTTTTGTTTACTTTTATTGATCTTTTAGAAAATGTTTATATATTTTATCTGAGCATTGTAACTTCTTACAAAATTTGCATTAAATGCTAATCAATGACTTTAATAAAGATGCTACCGCTAAATACCACTGAGGCACAGAGACAAATACTTTAATTTTAATTATACTATCAACCAATATCTAACATGTTTGCTGCACTATTTTTAATTCTTGGGAAAATGGACAATTAAATTAGACTAGAATTAATTACTAAAACTTATAGTGTAAATATTTTAAAAAGTCTCAACCAAAATAATAAATGAAGTTTGGACAGCAGAGTTGGTAATACGGACACATTTCTTTATAATCAGCATAATTGGGAGAAATATTTATTAGCAAATATAATTTTAAGATTGGTAGTACCATGTATGAGTAATTTCTTTATTAAATTCTCAACCATGTACTGAAACAGATTTAAAGGGAATCCTATACCCAAAAGAATTGCAGATGACTAATTAAAATTCTCAATCTTCTTCCCGTATTTTTTCAAACTTTAACTGTTTTCTCCAAGCAGAAGAAAAAGATAGCAGAAACTAGCTGGCTGTAGGTTGGTCAAGAAGTTTTAATTCCAAAGCCTGAGGTGTGTACTCAATCAGTTTTAATTATTTTACACTTAATAGTCTTCATGCCCATTTATGTTAACTTGAAGAAAATGTAATGATGACATAATTGCTGAAAGGCATGTAAATTGATAAAAAGGGAGAACTTTAGAATCTGGCCAAGAAATTGATAATTTGAACTCTAAATTTGTATTGTGTGCCATGCATAAAATAGGAAATGTTTTATAGTAACAATAACAATAACTGTCATCACTCCCAACCAGTAATCCCAATTTCCCCAATAGGGAACATTACATTATAATTAGGGATCTTGGAGGCTGATATCCAAATCACTCATTAAAATTCAGATATTTTCCAAATCTGTTTTTCAGACTAAATGATTTATTTTGAATATAATGGTTCTGGGGGAAGGAGTGGTCTGAATTAATGTAAATTATTATGCAAAATATAATTTTACAATAGAAAAGAAAATAAATATCTAAAATGTAAGAAAAAATGGAATCATGACATTTATATTGAATTTTACCAAAATTAAGTAGGCAGTGAAATCTTGTTTTTTAACATTTTAAACAATAACACAACACACACAAAAAAACCTATAAATCTTTATTTCTGTAAACTTCTTTTCCACTCCTCTTTAATCTGAATATTAAAATCATAGGAAAAGCATTTTTTTCCATCTAAACTTCTATTCGGATGTTTTAATTACTTACCACATTTTTGCTTTATGATAAATGCCATTCCACTGCCTCAAGTTCATTTTATGTCAGCTTTCCTATATTTCCTCCAGTCATAAGCTTTCGATCAAAGTGACTTTAAAAGTTCTTCCCTGACCGTTACTAAAGTTTTATTAGTGCTATTTGTGAAATAATATTTGCATAACGGGGGCATTCCATTAGGAAAATGTACGTGCACAAAATGTTTTAAATTTAATGTTCCAAATTTGAAAAACTTGAGTCAGAGAGAGTTTCAAGTGTGAACCAGGTTCTTCTCCTAGTTATTGTCTATTACCACGATGTCTAGTAGATTGGCCAGTATCTGTCTGTCTGCCTGGATCTGAAAGTCCCACAGGATCTTAGCCCTCTTATTCTCCATGATATTCTGTGGAATTTCCCATCTGTGGAATTTCCCATTCCCATTGGGAGCATCTAGCCCATACACTCTAGATCAGTGTTTCTCAACCTTGACCATTTTAAGGCATGTGGACTTCAACTCCCAGAATTCCACAGCCAGCATTGCTGGCTGTGGAATTCTGGGAGTTGAAGTCCACATGCCTTAAAATGGTCAAGGTTGAGAAACACTGCTCTAGATGCAGATGTTCCTGTACATAACGCCAGCTACTTGATCATGCTGTTCAGTGTATGCTGTTCTTGTCTGGATCTTACATCCTGTCACTATGTGTTGGACTGTTTCTTGGGCCTCTGCAACTCGGGTCCTATATAGTGTGGACGAACCTTTCTTCTATGGACCTGGTGCTTAGTTCTTGTGCTGCTATGATCAGTGCTTCAGTGCTGCTTTTTAGTCCAGCCCTTTCCCGCCACTAGTAGAAGTTCCCAATGTGGCCACCTCAGCTTTCTGTTAATGGTACATCCCATGTAAGATCTTGTCTTGCCATGGCACTTCTGCTTGATCTTTCTTCCACATCTGCTGCTGTCTCAGGCATCCTCTCCGCAGCTCATCTTTGGGTGACCTCTTATTGATAAACTCCTGGATGCTCTGGGTTTCATTCAGGACAATATATTCACTAAACCTTGCTCCCCTTGTTCCAGTTCATATATCGTTTCTATGTGTTGGACTCAGGGTAGCAACCTCTGTACACATGAGGTGCTTCTGGGTCTTCATATCAGCAGCTTCCATGTCCTCCTTTGGCCAGATCAATATAAAGCAGGATATATAATGACTGGCAGGATACATGGATCTTGTTCTTCCCATTGAGCTGGCTCTTTAAGGGCCTGTTTTATACTTTGGTGGTACTTGGAAGTTGCTGTCCTTCTTGCCTCCTCATTGTGATTTCCATGTGACTGTGGGATATCAAGGTACTTGTAAATGGTCTGTATGTGGCCCGCTGCTAGTTCCACCTCTTTGGTCTTAACCATTTTCCCTCTCTTGACTACTGCTCCAGTCCAAATGACATCACAATGCTCCAGTCCAAATGACATCACAATGTCTTTGCTGTAGAAGCATATCAGGTGAATCAGTGATTCAATATCTCGTTCACTCTTAGTATAAAAGTTGATGTCATTTATGTAGAGGTGGTGGCTGATAGTTCCACTCTTGAAGTGTGTCCATATCCAGTTCTTGTGATTATTTGGCTGGTGGAGTTCATGCCTATGCAGAACAGCAGTGGAGACAGTGCATCACCTTGCTGCATTTGATGGGCACTCGTGTGAATTGACTTCCACTGTTGCCTTCCATGTTCCCATAAAGTTCTTGAGTCTCCTGTTGACTTTGTACAGCACCACGCATTCACAGATCCATGTGTGGCATTGAGTCATGTGTTTTCCTGTAGTCAATCTTGGCTGCATTCAGGTTAGTCTCTCTAGACCTATTCTATCCATGACAAGTGGTGTTTCAAACCTCTGGTGTTGTTCCCAATGCTCTTTTGAGTTGCAATTATGTACTGGCCAATAGGGTCCTAAGATTGGTCTCTCTCTCTCTCTCTCTCTCTCTCTCTCTCTCTCTCTCTCTCTCGTTGTTCAATCATCTAAAGTTAATGAAAACATGCAGTTTAAAAATAACCAATAACTGGCATGTTTTCCAGGTTTGTTTGTAGATTTTAAGAACACAATGTGCATAGATAAAAGAGATAAAACCAAATTAAGGGATCTTGTCTAATAGTCATCTGTATCATATACTGCCTGAGTTTCACTAAAAGCAGATACTGCAGCAATTTCAATAAATAGATGGACTATAATTAAGAGGATTAACAGTTTGTGCCTTGTTGTTTCAAGTCCGGTTGTAGACTACTTCAGGGAGACCAAGGACAGGTAGTAGAACCAAGGACTGAAGCAGAAGGTTGAAACAAAGCTAACATTTTTTATTTTATTATCTGCCAGTAATTCTGTCACTCAGAGGGATACATGATGCATCACATCATCACCACAACAAGGAGTATCTCATGAATTATGTCTTTGACAGGTAAGAGTTGAAAGATGAAATGATTAAAATATTTGGAATCTGTAATCAGAGCTGAATCATACAGCCTGCAGTTAGGATAATATATGCAACATATTTTTTTTTACAAGAGAAGCAGAAGGAGATCTTAAAAGGGGATGGTCCAATGTCATTAAAATAATGTAGTCAGGATTTACGGAATACCAGAATGCCATTAACAGTATTTTAAAGAATCATCAGCCACATTGTACACTGAAGGAAATTTCATTCTCCTTCCTCCCTTAGTCAAAGAATTGGAAGCAGCACCACCAAAGCTTAACTTAGTAACAATCACAATTGTATACCACCATCCAATGAAAACTGCTGTCTGCACATTACTCAAGATATGGAATATGGTTGTATATGTCTCTTGCTGTATGTGCATATTCTACATGATGGCAAAACCAAGTTTTGTTTTAATATTTTCAAATATGCAAGTACAATATTGAAACTGTGTGTTGTTTTCATCAAGCGATATATTAAAGTGCCTCAGGTACTGAGTTGCTTCCTATAAAGTAACATGCAATAAAGGAAAGATATTCAAACCTGTGACCAGTTCTCTGATTTCCAAATCTGTAGTCTTTCGGAGTAACCGTACTAGTGCTGGAATTCCCCCACAGTTTTTCAAAGCAATTTTGTTGTCATCATTAGCTTTCCCATATACCAAGTTCCTCAGAGCCCCACAGGCACTACGGTGGACTTCTGTCATTCGATGGTCCAATAGATCCACCAGTAATTGTATCCCTCCTTGTCTTCTTATCTGCATCAGCAAAATAAAACCAAAGAAATCAAGACTAATCTTCAGTATGGTTAATGCTCAGTTTTTAGACAACAGTTAGAAGAGAAAATGCAGCAGCCAGCAAGGAAAGATGCTGGACTGATTTCCTATAATACCTTTGAAAGCAAAATCTTTTGCAAAAATTCAAGCACTGATCAAGAAAGCTGGACAGATTATGAAAAAGTTATTTGGAAAGAAAAGTACCCCTTCCCATGCCATAGATAAAATACTAACAGATTAAGATGTTATTGTCCAGTGTGTGGAGGAATCTGCCAGTCAGAATTTTTATCAAGGACCACTGAATGGCATTCCAGTTTCTAACTGCTTACAGTAATTATATACCAATAAATTAGCTTCTGCAAGGCAATTAATTGCTATGAAAAAGTAAAAAGTCTGTAACATTTTCTTTATAAAAAAGACGGGTATAGCTTGGACACAACATTAAATTATGTTGTATTCTTTGTTTTTGTTCTAGCATTTTTGCAAACCTGAATTATTCAACAAAACATTCCTAAAATATTGTGACTTAACATTAATATAAATGCACCCAACATAAACATTGGGTTTTAAAAAAAAATGCATATTCAGTGCATATTCAGAATGTGTGGAAATTCCTGGGAGAGCTGTACCAGTAAATGAGACATTAGTTAAAACCAGAATTAATTATACTGAAGTCCTACATTTACTTATTTGTTTGTTTGTACCCCACCTTTATTATTTTTACAAATTCTCAAAGTGGCAAACCTACACCTTCCTCCTCTGCACAGCAACAATCCTGTGAGGTGAGTTGGGCTGAGAGAGAATGGCTGATCTAGTCGCCCAGATGGCTTTCATGTCTAAGATGGGACTAGAATTCACAGACTTCCGCTTTCTAGTCTGATACCGTAACCACTAGATTAAACTGGCTCTCTTGATTTCAATATGCCTGTATTTTCAATATATAGTAAATTAAAACAATCGATGATATTAATAATAAATGAGCTAAGACGATTAGGTCAATCACCACTATGGGCTGAAAGCTAACTGAAACAATATGAATTGATCTTGGAAAACACGGAGAGTTGGGGCTATCTGTACTTCTGTATGCAAGTAGGATTGCTAATGAAAATACCTGGCTACATAAGGGCAAAATATGCATACTTTGAGGACTTAATTTGGAATTTCTGCAGCAAGCAGGGGACAAGGAGTAATATCGTAGCCACTGTTACCAAATTGTCAGATTTATATTTCCTCCCTATGGTAGTGTGAACAATCAATAGTTATTTATTTATTTTATAACATTGTTGAAATTAAAGCAAAGTCTATCATTTTCCATTTGTAGAGATTCCTGTGCAAATATATCCTTGAGCAAAGGTAAAAAAAATAATATGTAAAAAATCTTATATCCAGATTCATATATAAATATTAGATTACCCATGATCCATTGGGTCATTCTTTTAGAGATATTTCCTTACTTAAATGGATAAACAGAATCAATATAGGCAAGCAAAAAAGCAGCGGGAGCCAAGAGTGACCTCTGACTTCCTGCCAGCTTCTTGTGGGAAGCTGGTAGGGAATGTTGGAAATCATCATATGACTGTGGGTGACTGTGACACTGCAGCAACCAAAACTTTGGGAATAAAATTGTTGTGAAAATCCTTGGAATTTCAGTTAAACAGGAGTAATGGCTCCCAGAATTTGTATGCATTTTTTAAGTTAGCGGAGTTGAAGTATCTTGATTCCAAAATTTTGCACTATGATGGACAAGCAAACTGGGGAGTTTCAGTAGTATAAGTGCTAAATCAACAAATGTCCTAACTAAAAATGAATACTAGGAATCCGTATACTAAATAGTATTAGTATATTTAGTATACTAGTGCACTGAATATGCTAAGAAATAGTTATAGAGATGTGAAAGGAAGAGGGAGAGGAAGAGAGAGAGAGAGGGAGGAAGAGGGTGAGAGCTCTAAAGGTAAGAAGGAATTTATGATATTCAGAAAACAAATATCCCACTACTTTTTAAGAATCATTCTTCAATGTACCAGAAACTGATAGTGGGATAATTTTACATTGCCAAGAAGTAAACAAATTACATTCACCTTCTTCTGTCTCCCAACTTCCACCTTTTATTGCTTGTGATAAGTACCAGCCAGGTACTTAACTCATCTTAACTGCCTGAGAATGAATTATAGCCGGGTATGTAAGTGGCTGAGCATGCTACAACCTATTGCTTCCATTAATGTTCAGTTCCTTGCCTTTGAGTGAGCATCAAGGTCAGTCATTCCAATTTAAAAAGGGAAAATGGATCCTTGTTAATCTTTATATTTAAGAAGGAAAGGGGGGTTGAAAATGTTAATATATATACTGTATATAGCTAAGATAGTCACAGCTGGGCTGCGTACCACTAGATGGCAACAAAGAGACAAAGAAAATGTTAAAAGCTTCTGTCATCTACTGCGGGTCCAGATGTGTGCAATCAAATATGTTGAACTGAGTGATATAGGGATTTCTGTAAATAAAATCAAACAAGCAAATGTGGCAAACTACTCCAAGGAGGAGAGAACATATATCATGTTGTTCACAGGACACAATATTGCAGTGGTGTTCTGCAAATGAACCTATAAAAAAATGAAGGAACAAAAGGAACTCTCAAGTAAAAAACTAATTCCACTGCTTCTTAAATTTCCAAAGCACTAACTGAATAAAGTTTCAGTAAGCAGACCTATGTTAATTGCAATTACTGTATCAACTGAGTTGAATAGGTTTATCATGATTCATCCTTTCATTTGATCATGTGCCATCAAGCTGTTTTCACTCCTAGCAACCACAGAGATAGATTTTCTCCAAAACAATCTATCCCCAATTTGTTCTTTCAGAACTCACAAGGGTGCACTCACTGTAACTGAATGCATCCACTTTCCTATTTCCTCCATCCCTCCCTTCCTCTTGCCACCCTGCAATATTATTAGCAAAACATTTAACAGTGAGGTTGTTCATAGAGAATAACTGTGCTTGATGCCAAGATTCCAATCACACATGACTTATTTACTCCTATTTTACTTTTTCCCACTGGTGTAAATCCCTAAACCAAGGCTTTTCAACCAGTGGTATGGGTACCACTTGTGGTACATTGGCACCTGGCAGGTGGTACGTGACCATCCTAGAAAAATGTAGTGGGGGGGAATGAGCTGAACTGGTGGCAGCACCGCACAAACCTGAGCGAGAGATGGCTGGAGCTGCAGAGCTGTCAGGGCTCAGTGGAAGCGCCAGGATCAGTGCTTCTTCAGGACTGTCAGGGCTCAGTGGAAGCGCCAGGATCAGTGCCAGGCTCCAGCTGGAGCTCAGCGTTGATCCTGGTGCTTCTGCTGATCCCAGAAGAAGCGCCAATCAGCTGGAATATTGCAGCATCTCCAGGGTCTTGTGATTTACATTCAGATGCTTGGCAACTGATTCATATTTATGAGGTCACAGTGTCCCAGGGTCATGTGAAGTGACCAAAACCTGCTGCAATCACCCAGCAGACGGGGGGAATAAAAACCAAACACCCCCGCTGCCAATCCTCAACAGAAATGCTCACAACAATGAAAACCTCGGACAGGAGGAAGAGCGCTGCCAGGTGGGCAGGCAGGTGTCTTGCTCGGCACTTTTTTCAGTGCCATTGTAACTTCGAACAGTCACTAAGCGAACTGTTGTAAGTCGAGGACTACCAGTACTTCATCACTTTATTCTTTTTTGCTTTTTTGCGTCATCAAGTTTTTGACACCTTGCTAGGCGACTGGTGGTACTCGGATGTTGCCATGTCCTAAAAGTGGTACAATGGGTGAAAAGGTTGAAAAGCCCTGCCCTAAACTAACCAGAAATGACAAAATGACAGTGCATGATAAATTACAATCATGTCCCTTCAACTTAATGGGCATTCAAGGAGAGTTGTATCCAGAGCTTCTTAAGTTTTTTGACCACTCCCTCTTGTCTCAAAGATAATATCTTCCTTAGAGTGAGATACAAAGTGGTTCAGAAAACAGAGCTGAGACTTCTAATCTGTTTAGCATTATATAACATTCAACATTTTACAGTGTTAATTTCCACCAGAATTGTAGGAAAGTGACAGCATTATGTTACATTTCCAAGAAATTGGTAGGGCTGTGCAAAGCCTGCAAACCAGATGTTTCATGGTGCAGTACAATGAAGCAGTACAATACATTTCTTTAAAACTTACTTTTCTGTTTGTTATCACTGCAAATTTCAAATAGCTAGGCTGAGGGCTTTATTAAAGAGAATGGTAATTATTCCCAAATAATTCAGCATTCTGTTTTTTAGTTTACTGGTTTTAAATCTACTTTTAACCCAATTAAATGGCCGGTACTTAGAATGATTTAGTAGCTTTCTCTCTTGTTAGATATTTCTTTTTATTTATCTCTCTAATAGGGAAGAGAGCTTGAACAATCTCTGGATGTAAGTCCCAATAAAGCTCTGAAACATTTAGAGATTGATATACTACAGAGGAGTACAGAGATAACTTGGAAGAAAATATATGAAAGCCATTACAAAAGCATCAGCTCATTCTGGAAAGACAAGAATGATTGAGAAAGAAACTCAAGCTTGGTCTGCCTTGTCTCTCTTGGGTATAAGAGAAAGGAAAAAAGAAACGGTCATACTTTCCAGATTCTGTTATTATAGTGTGTATCTTTCTTACATTAATTTTATTTTCAATCACTTAAACAATCACTTAAATGTGAGCCAGCAGTGTGCTGCAGCTGCCAAAAAATCCAACACAGTGCTAGGCTGCATTAACAGAGGGATAGAATCAAGATCATGTGAAGTATTAATACCACTTTACAATGCCTTGGCAAGGCCACACTTGGAATACTGCATCCAGTTTTGGTCACCACAATGTAAAAAAGATGTTGAGACTCTAGAAAGAGTGCAGAGAAGAGCAACAAAGATGATTAGGGGACTGGAGGTTAAAACATATAAAGAACAGTTGCTGGAATTGGGTATGTCTA